AGCAGGTTAGTTGTCTACTGTATAAATAATGCCTGTCTGTCTTCAAATATATTTTCAATGTCATTAGTTCAGGAAAATGAAGTGATTTATGAAGTATGTAATGATACCCCAAATGTTTGCTAGAGCCTCCCAAATGGATACGGGAACATAGTTAGTTCTCCAGAGCAGAAAATAAAAGCAAATGTAAGATGAGGCCTTTTTTAGAGAGTAACAAAACTGGAGTAAAAAAATGGAGACCAGAAGAGATGAGTGATAAAGTATAGATGATTGTGGCAGAAAATGTAGCTCAAGCTTGTTAAGATATGTGGCGCTCCTTCCTGCTCTCTAAATGCACAGTTGAGTTCAGGTGATGTGTTTGAGGTTGGCAGCCCTTGTCAGCAGCCTTATGCCAGCTTTGATTTTAGTATCTTAGAGCAGCAGCATGCTCTTGGTCGAAAGCCTGGAACTTACCTGTGATACGATAAACAGCTTAACTACTAGCAAAGATTGAGGCTGAAGTGAAACCTAAGACTCTAAATTCATTGGAAAACAAAATTAATTTAAAAGTAATACCCCTGATTTAAAAAAATGATGACAATCCTACATTCCATTTGAAGTCAGTGAGAGCTCTATATGATCTCCACTCCTGAAAAACAGGCAGATAATGGTTGTGAGCACACTCCTAAATAGCTAACGTCTATATAAATACCATGCCCGCAATGGCTAACCAACTGATTATTTTATTTGCCCTCATTCCAATCTTGGCCACACAGCCCTTCTCTCTGAACCACATTACAGACCGCTCCCAGCTTCCGCCTGACGTTCAGTACAAAAATGTTTACATTTCAAGTGTGTGTTTTTTGGCCAGAACAACTGTTGTTGAGTCTCCTGTTCCTGCCATCTAGTTGATCATTTTCTTTTAAAATGTTTCCGATAAGGAGGTAGCACAAGGAACTTCTTTTCAAAGGGCATATGGGTGCAATGAGACTTGAAGCAAGAGGAGGGAAATAGAGTAGGAGCAAAAGTTACAGCACACTGTCCAGGGTGCTTTAGGTCCTAAAAAGTAGATTTCAGACTTGCAGTAATTTTTTTTTATTTTTTATTTTTTTAGTTACCTTTCATAAAACAGAGAGAAAGGTGCCTGTCTTAACACCTGGACAGAATTAACAGTCATTTAAAAGACCTATTAAACAAAGCCAGAACTTGCAGCCATTCCCACAATGTAGAAAATCATTCTACTAATTTTTGCAGCAAAAAGTGGTGGGGGAAGAGGGTGAAACGTCCTTTAAATCTACTACTTAAGCAACAGGCTCCTTCCTGAAAGACTCTAAACGAGAATCTGTGTGGAACATGCCGTGAAGCTCAACAAAGTATGTGAACGATGAATTGTCAGTTCAAACTTGGGCTTTGATCTAAGTGGGGAAAGCATGGTCTTCCTTAGTTTGGAGTGTGCATTGCCCAGCATGGTGACTCACTGCAGTTGGGGGTCTTTTGAAACAGTTGGAATAAAAAAAAAATATTGATCCACATCCAGTGGCTCCATACTTCTCACCCAAAAATGAGAAACGTTAACTTTAATTCTGACTAAAATAATTTCTGTTTTAGGGCAAACTCTCTCCTTTATTCCAAGACTTCTTTTTCTTTTTCCTCTGTTTTGGCTTAGAGATGTCGTGTATAGGCCAAGTGGCAACATTTTAAAGTAGTGTTTTATAACAGAAACTTTAAAGAAGTATCTTTGCATCTTAATGCTTGAAAACTTTGGTTCTACCCAATTGGCTTAATTTCTTCCAATTTACCAGGAGTTTAGGGTGCCCATAAAAAGGGTGTTAGGCTACTCCAAAAACAAGTGCTTGGAGTTAGTGGATGGACAGTGAAAAGCCATGCAAGCAATAACTACTTCAGGGATCCTTGCTAATGGCTTGCTCTTTCTTCCATTGACTTGCATAGAGACCTAACCTCTGGGTAGGGAACCTGGAAAACCAGCTGCAAAAAACATACTTGTTGCTATTGTAATATATTGGCTGTTTTATATGTGATGTCCTGGGTATGACCATGAACTGCAACCAACTGGAGGGCCTGATGGCAACATGATGGGGCTACTTGCCCCGCGACACGCCCCCCCATCCCCCACCCCTATAAAATACCACAGTGTTGCAACCTCCAGAGTAGGGCAAGTATAGGGCACTTCAAAACTGTAGTTCCTGCTGCCTTGTGGATATTCCTTGGTTGGAGAAAATCTAAGGGACCCTGACAGAAACATGCCATTACTGAAGTGTTTGGCAGTCGGCAGCAGTTCTCATCCAGCACTCTCTGGGAGAAGCTATGGTCATCGAGGCACTGAACATCTGGACTTTGGCATTTGGATTCTGTCTCAGTAGTCTAAATGGTGTGTGGTAGGTCTTGGGCAGCCTCTACTCCTCCATGCTCTTGCCCTGGGTGTACACGTCGGAGGTCTTGGTGTGATGGTCACAGGACTTTATACAAGTAAATTCATCAGACACCTGACGTGTATACACCATGATCCAGAGGATTGACAGTTGCCTATTTTTATGTGATATCAGACTCATAGCAGCTTGCCTACTGGGAGGCCCCCTGGAAGTGGCATTCTTGTTTAGCTGTAAAATTTGTTCTGTTTTTTTTTTGTTGTTGTTGTTTTTTTTTTTTACACTAGTAGTCATCATGGCAGTGATTGTTAACTAATATTTGGAGAACTCCCCCTGAAATCTCTCTGATGGGTAGCACTGAAAGATTATAGGCCCATATTTGAATGCTTACAGAATAAAAGGAAAAACAGACTTGTGCAGATCTGTGTTTTGGTTCTGACATAATTTCTCAAGTTTACCTGGTGTACAACAGCATTATTGAAAATTTCCTTTCTAAATGAGCTGTTAATTTAAAAATGTTTTAGTTCTGTCTTTAAAGTGCTTGGGATTTTAAGGGAAACATAGTAAATACCATGTTTAGTCGAATCTAAGATGATGTTTTTTTCCCCAGTCAGCATTGGTGGGGAGGGGAGGAGGTATATACAAAGCGGGGTGGGGGATAGGTAGCTGCTACAGCTTTGACTCTGGCACTGAGCCTGGGTTAGGACCAAAGTCCTAACCCACTAATGCCCCCACTGTCAAGTACAGCTAGGCACAGAGCACCTGGAAAGCTTCCCCCTGCCTAACCAGTCAGCAGTGCCAACCATCTTTGTGGCTTGGCAAGGGCTGTGCTTCCACATGCTGTGGCCTAGGGAGGAAACGGAGCCAGAGCAGTGTCTGACAGTGAGTGCGGGGGGGAAGGGAGGCAGAGTTTAGGGTGAGTGGGGTGTGCAGGTGGCAGGGCAAGAAGGCTACAGAGGGAAGAAGTGTGGGGAGCAGAGGGCAAGGGGGCCTCCTGACCCCTACCACCCACGCCAGCCATTGCTTTCCCTGCTATAGCGGTGGGGGGGCAGGGGGATGAATTCAGTACCTGGAAAAATTACATCAAACTTTGTACATTTTCTGTGTATAGTATCTAATTATTGGGGAGTCATCTTAAATTGAGGATCATGTTGGATTCGAGTAAATAGGGTAAGTGTGCCTTTCTTGGTGGCTTTGTTAAATCGGTAGTACAAAATGTATATTGCGTTCACAGATACAAATCTACAAGTTGTGTGCTAAACTTGTATTTCCTTCTAGATTTTGCAACAGTTTGCCAAGAATGCACAGACTTCCATTTTCCTGGGATTCAAAAACAACTTGAAATTGTCCAGAAGGTTGTTTTTTCTGCTAGAGCAAAGCGTAGCAGTAAGTCAAAAAGGCATCCTGGTCAGTGGCAACTTGTTTCTCTTGAACAAAAACAGTTCTGACAAGGTTTCTGTGGGTGTGGGCAAGTTGCTTTTACTTTTTCTTCCTTAGTTTCCCATATATCTAAAATAGAGGATTCCCTGCTGTAAAACATTTTGGGAACTCAGGGGGAACAATGCAGTTTTAAACTCAAGGTGGCCCTTATCCTTCCATATCACTTTAAGCTGGTTGAATGTTTTTATATGCAGTAAAAGAAGATACAAAACTCGGAAAACACAAACTTTTAGAGGTAGCTGTGGTCTCCAGTACTTTCACATTTTGCTTCCTAGCAATAATTCGGCTGGTTCTCCTCTTAACTTGTCTCCAAAGATCCAAACCGGACATAAAAATATTCATCTCTTCCTGATACAGTCTGTGAAGTTGTATGAAAGGAACATGGTCCAAAATGACCAACTTGCTCTATTGTCGAAGGCAAAGAGTCCTCTTGGTAGGATAGTAAACAGATCTCATGGAATAAACCTGTTTTAAAGGCCTTGTTCCTCATATGTAGATAGTAAGCTCTGCCAGGGTGCTAACTTCTATCTGTCCCTCTGTTAAGCTACAGAGTCCAGTTAGTGTGAATTCCAGGGAAAAACTGTTTTTTGGTTTTTTTTTTCAAGCCACCAATGAGCAGAAGCCAAAGATTCAAATGTGTGGCTTTAGTATAGTGAACTCTGTCAAGTATCCTAAGCTTTTATACTTGTGCACATGTATTCTATAATGAGCATCAGGGGTCAAATTAGCTCAAGCCTACTATGAAAAGCTAATCCTCCCGATCTTCTCTGTAGTCAGGGTCAGTTTTTAAAAGAAAAGATAGATAGTGGCACTTTTCCAAGCTCTATCCCAGAAGAAGCTGCCGCCTTGACATATGATAGATTGGGCAGATGATCAGAATATAATTCTGTCCTTTGGGTTGCTTGGGCTGCATTCTCCCTTTGTGGTGTTCATGCATATTTACAGGTTCTAGTGCAGACCCCCCACTTTCGATATGAAAGCAGAAACTAAGTGGTGGTGTCTCCATATTCAGAGAGATGTTGCTTGACCTTGCAGTGCACCAGCATCAAAATTTAGTGCTTACTGAAGTGAATTGGGGAAATTTTGCCCTCAGAGCTGTTCTATCCTATGTATAGACTCAGGCAAGCCGTGCTGTGTAAATTTAGCCTCTGTTCATGTTCTCTCTGAAGCCATAACAGACTGATTTTTAATAATCCTGAAATTCTAAAGCATATGAATATGCCAACCCCCTATATTCCTGGGCCCCTTTCTCCTTCCCTCTGCCCCTCTCCCCCACTTGAACATCATCAGTAATCAGGCTTAACCGTGGTTTGACCTGTCTCTGTCTTTAAAGTTTTAGAAATTATAATGGGGAATAAGAGTTGCAAATATTTTACTTCTAGCAATGGGGTACTGAAGCAAAAGATTATCAATAACTGATAATGGGGTGTGTAGATCTTTCACAAGTGTATTTACAAATGGTAGGAAGTTTTCTGCCTACATGCCTTTGAGGACACTACTCTTACATCAGGGTGATATTTTCTTTTCTCATAAAGAACTACTTATGTGGTTTAAATGAATCAGTAACACGAATAGGCACATAAATCTATAGTGGAATAAACTTACTGTGGTACTGTGTATTGTAATAGAATGGTCTCATTAAAAACATCTGACTGTCAGTTTTTCCTTACTCTTGGTTTTATTTGAATAGTTATAACTTTGTTTGCAGTACTAGGAAATAACAGCAATTTAATGTAAAAAGTTGATTCTCTACCTAATTTTGTATCTCACTTTTAAACTCTTTTCTATAGCTTTTTTCTGTTAAGTGAGTGGCAAACTGTCAGTTGGCCACCAGAAACACTCTAGTTCACCTTTTTTCCCGGGAAATAAAGTCTTATTAGAAATGCATGGAAAGTTTAAGAGCTAAAGGGGCGAGAGAACTGGTAGTAAGAGTCTAGGGCAAGGCTATACAACAAATTTTAATGAGGTCTACTTGCATGGTGCACTCTTGATTGACTGCAGAAAGTAGGGGGAGGCATGCGCAGATTGGTGAATCACTGTTCAGCAAGGACACAGGACTTGCTGTTTTTATTTTCCAATTTTTTGGCGCAATAAAATGCTTTATTAAAGAATTATGGGATTGCCCTAGCAAGTTGCATGTGAGCTGTAGGTTGTGCACCCTGCAATAGGGTAACTCTATGAAAGGTCCCAATACAGTATTATCAAGAACCTCCCAATATTTAAATACAAGATCTCTCATTTTCAGGTCTGTCTCTTCTGGCTGGAGATGAGGAGGAGTGAAGAATATTGAGTTATCTGTTTTTTGTATTGAGTATGATGGTTAAGGTCAAAGTTGATTATTTGCATTCAGGACCAGATTCAATGTCCACTGAACTCAATAAAGACCACTTTTGATTTCAGTGCACTTTGGATTGGTTCTTAAGTTGTTAGAATATGGCACACATGAAACTATTGAAGCATTTCAGCTTGGTAACGCAGTAATGTTAAGGCAGTCCATATACAGTATATTTAATATTTATACTATAGATTCACTAAACAGAGATGGTGGAAGTGAAGATAAATCCAAGAATATTGAACGAAACCAATCAAATATTTTACCAGGTGAGTCAGTGTTGTTCTTTTCTTTTCTTTTTTCTTTTTTTAAGTAAACCTGTTGTTATGCTTATCCCTAGCAGTCACTCTACGTTCCGGAATAATATATATATATATAACTAAACACAAGGGAATGTTTAAACTAAACATCCTTCTCCTTCTCGGAAGGCAAGGATGCCCTTGTAGGTATGGCCCAGACTGTGGTGTTGGGGCATCTGGTTTCTATTCCCAGCTTTGCCATGAAGTCATGCTGTGACGTTAGGCAAGTCGCTTATTGTCCCTATGCCTAAGACTTCTGTTGTAAATCAGGTGAAGAAGTAAATTATAAGGCTTGCAAATAATTCTCTAAAATACTTGGTTCTGCATACTATCACAAAATAGTTACAATTGAACACATTTTTAAGCATAGGAGTGGTCCATGGGAATGTAGGAGCATATGATCTTATGTCCTCTTACAGGTTATCCTTTCAATAAGGAAGTTATCTATAGCAATTATTTGAAGATCTGGACGCATTGGATGTTGCTTTTTGGAAGGAAAAAAGCTTTAGTTTATCTGTTTAAATAACTATCAAGATGAATACCTTGACATAGTTATGGGGCATCTTAAATCTATGTAGTAGAACGGAATTGTGGAACAACTTAAGCCAAGGGTGGTGATCCTTTCCTATTGGATTAAAAGGAGATTTAGTTTAACTATCTAGTGGACAAGCTATTTTGGACAGACCTTGGAGATTAACTTCTGCTTTTGTGTAAGCAGGGAGAAATTAGCCTTCCAGAAACAAAGGGCCCAGTCTGTAAACCTTTCTCACTTCCTTTTGACCTCTCCTTGCAAGCATTCTTTCCTACTTTACTGCAGAACAGTGGGGTTTTTTTGTTTGTTTGTTTTTTTTTGGGGGGGGGGGGTTGTGGGTTTTGTTTTTGTTTTTGTTTTGTTTTGTTTTTTTGAGAGTAGGCATCTACTTCCCTGTTTTTCCTTGAGTTTTCACTTGCTTATATTCTGGTCTTTCATGTACCCTTCCATCAGCTACTTATTAAAAACAATTTACAAGTTGTGTGAGGAGAGAGGAAAGATGACAGTCTTACCAAACGGTGTGTTCCATTTCTGAACATGAAATGGTTCATGGTAATGTTATGTCCTAACAAGGCTGTTCCTGTCCCCTGTTTTTGCAATTAGGCCATGATCCTGTGTGAGATTTGAGCAGGCACAGATCATCATCCTGATTACTGGGGCTGCAGTTTGTTGCATTGGCATCTTAGTGTGGGTTGGTCTCTCCTTATCTTGCTGCAAATTTCAGATCTAGCTCATGAGCCAAGGTTCTGCTGCTCCTTGTTTCTTTTTCTGCTGTAAGAATAAAGCTGTGTGTTTTGTTAGTTTGTTTTTTCTTCTCCAGGTCTTAACCAGTTGCTTTGGGCTCTTTTTTAAAAACAAATCTTGGTTAATCCTACCCTGTTACAAATTCTTATTCAATTCTGATCTTTGGTATCTGCACCTTCCTGTATGCTCCCCAGTTAAGTAATCTGTACCCACTGTCTTTCCCACAGGCTTTTTGTATCTTTTATTTTAACTCATCCTTTTTTTGGCATTTCCTCCTCCCACATCTGTCTGCTCTGCAGTGCTTGCGTCTATATTTTTGAGTGTTACACCTCCTTCCCCCTCCTTTGTCTTCCACATTATATTATTTCCTACCATATATAGGTCACATCCATCTATCCATTGTCTATCCACTGACTAAATAGCAAGGAACTGTCTAGACTGAACAGAAAGGATAAGTACAGATAGTGAAAAAGCCCAAGGCTGAATTGGTTCAATCTTTGCAAGTTGGTCTAAACTGCACAGATTGAACAGACATTCACTTTTGATTCTGGAAATGCAGCCACATGTCTGTAATGTCCCAGGCCAGAAGCTGGGGGGCACTAGAGCACACCTCCCTGCTTGGCTGGAGCAGACAGCTTGGCCAAGGCTAGCCTGCCCACCCTACAAGGGGTGGGGAGGGGGTTGTGGGACAAGTGCAAAGCATCCTGGGATGCTGGGGCACTATGACTTAACTTGAATCTAGAGGGGATCTGGGACAGAAGTCTGATACTACATCTCACCAGGTTTATCTTAAACTGATTTCAGACATTTTAGAAGTGGTTGATGTGCACTGAACTTCTCTTGTGTTACAGCTTTGAACTGGTTTCTGATCACTTTATACCAGTTTGTGTCCCTAGCCAAGCAAGGGAAGGGGTTATGTTTCATAGGCTCTTAAGTTTTTTTTTTTTTTGTTTTTTTTTAAAGTTTTTTAGGCTATGGACAAACATACTCTTTTTAAAGGGGAAGAGGAGCTGCTGTGCAGTGTCACCCATCAACTATTATGATTAAGGATCTACCAAATTCACAGTGGAAGTAGTGTGTGCCAGTCCCTTTAATCTTGCATGTTACCTCGCATGTACCCACCCCTTGCCCCACACCCTCACTGCTGACTAGTGGAGGACCCCAATTGATGTTAAATTCTTCCATTTTTATTCCCACTGTGCTGCTTATGGCAGTTGTAGGTTGATTTTTGTATTGAACTCTATATCACAAGCATGATGGATTCTTTTGTCTATCGCCTTGTTCTGCAGGTGAATTCTACATCACACGTCATTCAAATCTTTCTGAAATTCATGTTGCTTTTCATCTCTGTGTGGATGACAACGTGAGATCTGGTAACATTACTGCTCGTGACCCTGCAATCATGGGCCTCAGAAATATTCTCAAAGTCTGCTGTACACATGACATTACTACAATTAGTATCCCTCTCCTGTTAGTACATGATATGTCAGAAGTAAGTAAACCAAAAAAATTGTATGTGATTTTGACTTTATTGGTATTCAGAAAGGTAATACTCTCTAACGGCTGCTAGCCAGTTTGGGAGGGTGTATAGTAGCTATACTGTTTCATCAGTGTCAGTTCCTGGTTGAAAAATCAAAAGTAGATATGAGATATTTAGAGCTGTCTACCACTGTTTAGCTCTTTGTATTTATTTATATTTAGGAAATGGCCCTAAATTACAATTTTAAATGTAGCATTTCTTGTGCCTTTTAAGAACAAATACGGCCTTGATCCTGCAAAAAGAACCATTAATATGGATCCTTCATGTGTACTGTGCATGCATCTGCAATTTATGGGACTCCATGTGGGCAAATCTATCTGTGCATTTGTCTCCTAGAAGGATCAAGTCCCATTACAGTGCAAGATCTAGCTGTGTAAATAAAACACTTCTGTTAATGTTGAAGGTAGGCGTTAACGGACAATACTTTAAACACAAGTTTAGTCATGGATAATGAACACTGAAAAAATGAAACCTAATCTAATTGTGTTGAGATTTGATTTTGCTGTGATGGTCCAGGAAAAATATGAAGAAGCAAGAATTTTGTGGGTGATTCTCTTTTATTGAACCAGCTGCAGGGTTGAGATAGACATGCCCAATAAAGGAATTGCCCACATGAATCCAATTCTAATCTGACACCATTTTCTCCTCCCCCACCCTTGAAATTACTTGTTGAGACTGCAATCATGCTGATTTAATTGATGTGGTTTTAAGGGTCTACCCAATAAAGTATCTGTTGGGAATAAGTCTTATTAAGGAGGAAAGGAAACCATTCAGTAACCTATGTATTGTGGATTTTCCTGTTTTAACATTTTTGTTAAAGTTTCAGACTACATGAACAGTTTATAAAATACCTACTTTAAAGGATGCTATAGTATTGTATGAAATTTGAAGACTATAAGATGATTGCCTAGGTCTTTTAAAATTGATAAATTAGCCCTTATTTGTTTCATGTTTGAATGTTTGCAGAATAAACTTGATGACCTGCATGATAGGAGATGTGTGTATGTATAAATATAAAAATTTAAACAAAAGTGTAAATTGCATTGGAAACATTGATAACAGTTTGCTGCAGCTGGCTGACCTTATTTAAAACCTGAAACTTCTATAACTCCTTATGGAGGGAAGAATGAACAATATTACCTTTCTAAATGCTAATCTGAAACTACTGAACTCTGAACTAAATCTGAATTTAGTGCCTTTAGTAACCTTGTTTTTTGAAGCTGTTTACCACCTACATAAAAACATTTTTGTAAAGTGGTTAACCAGTAGCACAGCTGCAAAGATGTTTGGATGTTCACTGTGACAGGCATTCGTCATGAGCTTTCTTTTGTTCTCTCAAAGATTATTCTGTTTTTGTAGATGGAGAAGTGAAATATATATTTAACTCAAGGATGGCAATGAGTTTATCAAACTGAAGGAGGGCATCATATCTCACTTGTATGGGGACCTTTATATAAAGCAAATGAGTGTCACTTTGGGGAGAGGGTGGCAGAATGTTACTATTTCCCTTACTGTGACGTTAGTATAAAGCATGGTACAATTTGCCAGGCATTCAAACCCACATCTAAGAAATCAGAGGGAGAAAGATAAATGAATGGCTGGAAGACTTCTGATCTGAAAGGACTGTAACAGTTCCAGCTAAGTCAAGACCAGGCAAGAACTACTTAGTCATCTGATACCTGTTATATATCCTAGGTGAACTGATACAAGGGATGAAACGAAGCTACTAGGCAGATGTTCACACTTATCACTTGAACGCAACTTGCATCTTTGTTTTATAGATTCAGTGTAGAGGCCATTGCTGCTGATTGTATATCTGTTTGAAGAAAAACAGACCTCATCAAGGCTATTAATTGGTGCCTTTTTGTGATCATTACATTTAATGTAAAATACTCCTTTTTTGGAAAGGAAAACTAGAAAAAAAATCTATAGCATGCATTCTTCTCTTCCTTCCATCTATCTAGTTAAATGGCTTCTAAGTAGATGTTTTTATTCAAGGCATTTTATTTGGGGCATATCTACTATGGCCAAATCCTAAAAACCTTTTTCCTTTTTACAATACACAGATACTAAAGCAAAAGTCCAGTTAAAAAGCACTATTTAGGAACTTGGGGCCCCTGTTAGTCCAGTTTCTGCAAAGACTTAAGTGCATATTTAAAATCTTATGCACGTGACTGTACCCACTAATTTGAATCTGCCAGTTAGAACAAGTAAGTAGGAAGTCCTGCAAGACTTACCAACAAACTTGGGCTCTGATAAGCAAGAGGAATAACAGCCCTGCTACTAATAAATCGGCTCTTTTTTTTTTATTATCCTTTTGAATACAAGGATAGGTGACATGGAGTTACTAATTACAGGCAAAGTTCTCAAGCACTCTACCGCCCTAGATTGACACTAGTAAACTCAAACCTTTGTTGTCTTGTGTCCCTGCACTTGAGACCAGTGTCCATCTAATCTTCAGTCATAAGGACAGCCGTAGAGTATGTTTTTACATGTAAAAATAATATTCCTAACCTGGTGAAATAATGAGAGCATCAGCTTTAAAAATGACACGGTAGTGATTCAGGTTATAATCCATTTTGAGTTCTTGTGGGTTGAATTAATTGGTGTTCTGTGTTCAACCTGTTATTTCCCTTAGTGCCCACAACACTTAACATCTATATTCCTCTGGAACTGTCCAAAAACTAGTGTCATATCCTGCTGCTTCAATTGATCCTTTTAAGGCATCATCTCACTTTCCATATTGACTACAGAATGTGCTGCTAACTTGCCTTCAAGGCAACAGAACCTTTCTTTTTAGATTCTGGTTTTTAACCTAAGCCAAAACAGGGATCAAAACTACCAGCAAACGCCTACCTTTCATATGACAAGAAGCTTGTGTGGGCAGATAAATTACAATGGAGACCCAGTATTTCTTCCGGAAAACTTGAAAATACTCTGCTGTCCAGCATTGTGCTATCTGATCCTTGTGTTGTGTAACTGAAGGGTGAAGCAAACAGATGTGAGGAAAACAGATGTGAGGATTTGCATCATGAGAACTGTTTTTAAATGTTGGTTTTACATATAGTCTCTATTTTATGGTAGGGGGATGGGGAGATGCTCTAGATATAGTGTAGGTGGGAACTGTGGTTTCCAGCAACCCTTGAAGGCAGTCATGTTGGGTGAACGGTACTGTCATCACCATTCCTGGGTCTCCCTTTTCAAAAAGCTCACCTTTAAAATGCATTTACTGTTTACTCGATAGTATCTTCTAGTACTTTAAAATAGTGGTTGAGCTCTTGTTGTCATCCATAAGGTATGCAACATTTCTAGGATGCTTTGGGAAACTCAGGTTTGCTTTATGGCTTCAGTCTTGTTTGAAGAACTGAAACACTGGTAAACCTGGTCTGACATTCAAGGGGACTTGGGTTCAGAAAAAATAGTTTTTAACAAATGTGTACACATGGAAGTCATAATTAGGGACCTACCTAACTCTTGGCAAATGAAAGCAATTTTCATTACTTGGTCACAGCCCAAAGAGCCGATTTTTTTTGTGGTGGTTTGGGAGCAGCTTTACCCCTTGGCAATGATTGGTGGAGAGGCCCCGGTGGGAAGAGGGATGAGGGGACAGCTGCCATCTTGATTTCTGGCTGGCGTTTGTGCAGCCCCGCCCCTCGGTGCTAATTAGCAGAGAGGAACGAGGGGTAGTCGCCATCTTGGTGTCTGTCCTTCATGCTGTCCCACCAGCCAGCACCTTCACTTCCTGGGCAGGCTGCGAGACTGAGCTGCAGTGGCAGCAAGAATTTCTGGCTCCCACTGGAGAGCCAGTATCTTATTTTCATTACCGTTTTTTGATTGATTTTTGGGAAATGGTGGCCAATGTCCCTTTTTTTTTTGTAGAGATAACCGTTTTTCATGATTTCCATGAAAATTGCATCACTGCAATTTAAGTAGGTCCCTACTCATAATACTATAGATCATGAAAATAAAATGGGAGTGCTTTTTAAAAACCTGATTAAAATAAATTGCCTGGCCACAACAAAAAAATGCTCTGTCTTCAGTCACATGTTTTTGCTTGGTTGCACTAAAATGTAAAATAACTTCTTTTTTCTTTTTAAGGAAATGACTATACCATGGTGCTTAAAGAGGGCAGAACTGGTATTCAAGTGTGTCAAAGGTTAGTATTACATTTCACCTATTCTTCTAGATCAGAACTATCCAGCTGGTGGCCTATGGGCCATATGCAGCTCACAAGGGGTTAATATGAAGTCCCCCATTGCTCCAGTTGTAATAGCAGCTGAAAGCTCAAGGATCCCTCTTCCCACCCTGGCTTCTGCTATATGCCCACACCCACTGGGCAGGGCAGCATGGCATAGTGCAGCTTGTAGTGCCTGGGGAGTCTGCAGCCCAGAGCACCCATGCAGTGTAGTGCCACAGGGGAGTCTGCAAGTAAGGTGAAGCAGTGTGTAGTGCTGCATGGGAGTGTCTGTTCCCACATACAGTCCAGTAGAGTGGGGGGTTGCCTGCACACATGTGAAGCATACAGCCTGGGGGACCCTGTGGTCCATACTAGTGCTACCCCTGTGGTGTGCAGCCCATGAGGCATGTATCTACCTGCTTTGAATCTGGACAGTCCTGTTCTAGATGTCCTTTGTTCTCAGGAAGTGGGTCAAATTGACCTTTTGCAAGAGAGACAAAAGGAAATAAAAATGTAGAGCTAGAAAAATGTTGAACTTTTAGTACAACTTTAATACATTTTAAATACATTTTTAAAATCTTAATTGAAACAGCTGCTGCCATCTCAGAATTGGGGGGAGGAGGGGATGTAATGTTAAGACTTGTGAAAATCCTAGTATATACATGGATGGATAGATGGCTTCGAAGAGAGAGTTTGCTATGTTAGCCTGAAGTCGGGGTGGATTTGCACCTTTTATAAACTAAATCAAAGAAGCTTTTGTAAGCAGTGGACTTGCTTCATCAGTTGCTATGAAGGGATACAAGATAGCTTCAAGCCATCTCTGTACTAGTGCCAAATTGGTCCTTGAAATACACTGTCAAGTAGCTCAACCTCTTTTTTTCCCACCCCCCTCCATTTTTCTTTTTTAATGGGGGACTCCACTATTTTTTTCGATGTTATTTTATATGCTAATACATTTTATCATTGGGAGTTTTTCTGATTACTGTCGTAGCTTTGCCTTTATTTTCCTAGTACTTCTGTACCCCATAAATAATTCTTCCCATTTTTGGTGGTCAAGTGCTTCAAATATCTGTAGCATGTTAGGTTCCCTCCACCAGAAGTGAAGCAGCTACCTCTTAGTATGTACTACATAGTTATAATTGTATAATATGTCTGTGACCCATAATTAGAAATTACACACTGTACTAACAAAAGTGTACTTTTATTTGTCAGTAATATACCATGAGCTTGTTTTGGGTTCATGGGTCATAGTTTGGCAATCCCTGTGTTTATAAATGCCAAGTTGTCACCTAGCCAGGTTTTATATATGAAGACTTTTCTTGATAATAAATCCTTCCTACACTTCCTCTTGCCCTTCTCTGAACTGCTTCCAATCTGTCAGTCTATTTCTAGTTATACCATACCTGGTTGCGAATTCAGCATTCCAGGGTACACCATAGGGTTGTGTGAAATTTCAGTAGCTGTTTCATTTAGTTTCGGATTCGGACATTTTAATGGTTGAAACATCAAATCCGAAACAGCTCTGAAACAAAACGGGCCATCCAAAATGATTCGGATGTTTCGGAGCTGTTTCAGAGGTGGGCTATTGACATCTGTAGGTGGTGGCCAGTGACAATGATCTGTCCCTGAGGTCACTTCCAGCCCGGGGGCTGGGGAATCAACCCGGGAGCTGGGGGAATGTTAAGGTCCCTGAACATTCCCCCAGTTTCCGGTTCAATTCCCCAGCTCTCTGATCACTTCCCCCAGCTTTTCCTGTGGGGCACGGGGCCCCAGATGATGCGGGATGACAGCAGGCTGCTGCTGCCAGCTGGGGATGGCGGTGGCTCTGAGCTATTTTCCCAGCCGGCAGCAGCAGCCTGCTGAAACCCTGTATGCAGATCCGGGGGTTACACCCCCCAGGAAAAGCTGGGGGAATGATTAGAGAGCTGGGGAATTGAATCGAGCTCCAGTTGACAGGTGGTGCCACCCCAGCTCCCAGGCAGCGCACGATGCCCTGGCATGCAGTGCCGCACCTATGCCCTGGCACCGCACCCACACCCTGGTGCAGGTGCCAGGCGGGGGTGGGGGTGATCCCCACACTGTGCGGGGGGGCTCTTGCCACGAGCCCTCAGGCCCCAATCGCTGCTGCCAGAGCCAATGTGTGTGGGGCTTTAAAAAAAAATGCTCCGTACTCACCAGCCGCGGAGCATGCGGATGACAGCAGGCTGCTGCTGCTGGCTGGGGCCAATGCCAGTACATGAGTCTGCCTGGCACAGCCCCCACCAGGAAGAACCCAGTGCTGGCGCTGGCCCCAGTAGGCAGCAGCAGCCTGGTGTCATCCTGCACACAGATCCAGGAGTCCACACCCCCCGGGAGGGCTGCGGGGCTATGCCAGACTCCTGCGGGGGGGAATCGGCCCCTAGATCTGCATGTGGGATGATGGCAGGCTGCCTCTGCCAGGAAGTGATACTAGTTTTGCTTGGAACAGTTTGAAGCGTAGTTTTCCAGAAACCCCTGCATCTATTTCCGTGAAACACGCCAGGGTTCATGTATTCGGAAGAGGCTAGCATCCCTGCAAGTTTCATCTGAATCAGGCAAGAAATGACAGTCATAGGCAATTTTGTGATTTTCCCCATTATAGCCTATGGCCAAAACACCATCAAAATTCCGAAACAGTTTCGGCCGAAATTAAATGGGACAGTGATTCGAACACCAAAATTAATCGCTGTCCCTCTGAAATGCCAAAACCAAAACAGAACACAGGTGTTTCGCACGGTCCTAGTGCACCAGGCCTATGTAGAGAAGGCAGCTAGCTCTGGAAGAATATTCTCAAAATAATCAATCTTGGGAAGTATCTTCTAATTCCTGCGGGTCTGCAACATGCTGTACATTTTGGCCAAGAACTAGAATGTCATACCTTTCAAGATTTTTAGTGTTCTGTGTAGCAAATCATTTGGCCAAGGACTTGAGTCAGCAAGCTGCCCAAGCCAGTGAAGGTATAGGAAGCCAAAGGTACCAATCTGATGGCTGAGGTTGCAATAGTTCCATGTAGCTGGCTAGAACCTTTGCTATCGGATGTTGTTATATGTTGCATGATAATGTCATTAAAAGAAAAGCCTGTTATCTATAAATGTGTAAATCATGACTATTTCTTTCTAGGCTTCATGATGGAAATGGCCTCCTGGGATGGAGGAATATCCCGTACTGTACAATTCTTGGTACCACAGGTGGGTTAAGTTGAGAAACGTGCTCCTGCTGTGATCCAAGAGACAGTCGGAACAGGAGCTCTATTTTTTAGTTCTATAAAGATACAAAAAAAGGAAGCTGGCATTCTTTGAAGAGATTGGGATCAAACTTAATTACTTAATTTTAAGGCTTTTCACTGGTTGTTTTCCTAGCATCTGTTAAATTTAGTGTGTTGAGCCCAAATGCATGCCCATGAAAACAGGGGGACAATTCCCACACAGTTCTGTGGCAGACCATGGGATCATGCAAGCCCTGCATTAGAAAAGTGGTGCTTAACCTTTGGCCCCATGGGCCAAATGAATGCCACAGTGCCAGTCCTCAGGTCAGGCCCTGTGCCACCCCACCCTGTGCACTCAATACAGCTCACAGGGCCATGTGCTGTAGCTTGCAGGGCTCCCTACAGTTCTGGTAATTTGGCAGCAGGGGCCATTAATGCTATACTGCACCCCTGCCAACAGTTTTTCAGACCCATGGGGAGTAGGGTGATCATGCGTCCCTAATTGGACTGGACAGTCCCAGAATGGGATTATCAAGTCCCGGTCCCAGGCTCCATGACTCCAGGACAACATTTGTCCCAGATTCACAGCATCATGCAGGGATCTGGGTTTCCCCTCACAAGCAGATAATGTTCCAGCCTACAAGGGCTGTTTGGGGCTGCCAGGAGTGGGACTCGCGGGGAGGCGGGGTGTGGGCTGCGTGCATGTGCAAGCCTGCACACATGCATGTGGCCAGGGAAGTGCCAAGCAGCTTGCTGTGGGTAAGTCTTTGGGGAGTGGAAGGGGGTGTCTTGGGGGGGGTGGTGTGGAGATCTAGGGTCCCATAGTGAGGGAGGGAGTAGGGCTGGGGCAGTGCATGGGGGCCCCAGGGTGGGGAGTAGGACAGCCACAGGTAGCTCATTCAGGGTGTGTGAGGCATGCAGGGGGGTGGTACCCCACTGCTGTGCGCACCCCCCCAAGGCTCCCCGTCCTACTGTCCTGTACCCAGGAGCCCCACACTGCCATAGTGACATGTCCCCTGTCCGCTTGGCAGTAGCAGGGGCAGCAGCGGGCATGCAGTTGTGCCACCCACTGCTATCAGACAGGTAGAGAGCATGCAGCTGGCATGCGGCTCTGCGGGGGAAGGGCAGCAGGCCAGGGAGCCCTGACCCTGCAGTGGGCAGCCCACATCTGCCCCTGGCCCACTTGGCTCTGCTCCAGCCATGCCACTGGGCGGTGAGGGGGGAATTCGGAAAAGGTGGTCACCCTAATAGGGATGGCAGGCTGCACTAGCCTGTCGGCAGGGGGGTGAGCACCCCTGCATTAGAGCATGGCAGTTCTCTATGTATGTAACTGAACTGATAATTCTATGTGGTGTTCAGAACCAGGGAGTCCTCAAACATATGAAAAGTACTAAAATTTTCGTTGTTGTGGCTATTCTGAAAATTGGCCTTCAGAGTTGAGAAAAGAACTTGTATATATTGGTAAGGAAATACACAACTAAACAATGAGGAAACCAAGAATAAATTGTGTAGCAAAAATTAGCTCTTAATCTTGAGTTTGGAGAGATGTCTTAGTACCAGCAAATAATATGCTAGATCTGCTTTAGAAAGAACTTGTGAAAAGTGGAAGGAATTCACTAAAATGGGTAAATTATGCACCTATTGGGTAATATTTTAAAGTAAGCTTTGCTATACTTACTGAAAAACCATCATGAGGGACCTTCTTCTATAAGGTTCCAATATCCCATGGGTTGCCAGGAGAAATATCTGTGGGCACAGTTACTTGCTGCTGTAAGTTAGATGCACTTAAATTAAAGGTTTATGGCAAATTTTTTGTTTTTACAGACTATTTCAGAAGAAATGTTTTATCAGTTGAGTAATATGCTTCCCCAGATCTTCAGAGTGTCTTCTACACTGACTCTGACGTCTAAGCATTAAACTCTGTGGAGCAGTAAGACACGGCCTGTTGGAAAAAAATTAGAATATTTGTTTGTATGTTAAATACTTGAAATTTCTGCATCTTCCCAATATTGGTTGATAATCCCAAACTGAAACTTCAGTTACAAGTTTCAAACCAAATACTGCATGCCTGTTTAAATATTAATAATGATAATATAATTATAGCAATGTCCTGTCTAAAACTGGATGCTTGCAAAAAAAAATAAATAAATCAGATATTCTGCTTCAGTAATATAATGTTGACTTTCAATTCATGCAAAACAAATGTGCTCTAATTTTATATGTAATCTAGCAACACAGTAATTGTTATTCTGACAGTGGGAGTAGAGATATCTGCTTATTTTGAAAATGTTTTCAGAAATTTGTCTAGTGAATTTGTTAATAATGGTAAGCAAACCGCCTTAGAAATTTTTAAACATGTCCCACTTGTCTTTTCCAAGGTCACACTGACCATGAAAACAATGTAAATATTTCAAAATGAAAAATAAAATAAAGTGAAAAGTAACCACTAGTCTGCTTTTTTCACATCTCGTTCAGTAACTATACTTTTGTCACAGTGATTACTAGTTTTTGAGTTCTGTTACTGTATTGTACTCTTTCACATCTGGTACTCTTAGCGCAGTGGGAGCCAACCTTGGCAGACATGCCACAAATTTGGTTCCGCTTCCACCCTGAATGTCACTCCAATTCTCTTCCATTGCATGATCTGTTGATCTAATTTCTGCCCTGTCCACTGCTGTGCAGCTTCTGTTCCCTCTTTAATTTTGCTGCATGTTGTACAAGGCTGCCCATTCCACTTGTGCCAGATGCACTGCAGGTTGGTGACCCCTGTCTCTAGGGTATGGACACAAGTTTAAAAAAAGCAGCAACTCTTGCATTCTAATTGTTATGTGTGGACAAGCTGGGAAGAAGAAGCTTGGCATGTTTGTATCCTTCCTGGCTTTTAAATAACAATTAAAATGTAACTGCTGCTCCCCTCTGGAAGCAGCTCCATATATCCATGCCATTAATATGAAGATTTGACATTAGACGCAGGGGCGGGCAATTATTTTGGACAGAGGACCACTTACTGAGTTTTGGCGAGCCATCGAGGGCTGCATGACAGGCAGCACAGGGAAGATTAATACTAATTTTCTAAAGTTTTTTTAGGGGCCCTGCACGCTGAATAGAATGGCCTGGCGGGCTGCATCCGGCCCCCGGGCCGCATTTTGCCCACCCCTGCATTAGAGGAACTTCTGCACTGGCAATTCAATAATGGTGCGTGACCTGGTATATTTTGAGAGAGTCTCTGCTGTGACTTTCTGACCATCCAGCTGGTCACAAATCTTTCAAGAAAGTGGTTCAGGTGGCAAAAGCAAATTTATCAAAAGAAATATCACTGTGACCTAATACTTTTTGAGCCAAACTTCCACCAAACCACAGGTTAGGGCTCCAATAGAAATCTGCTTCTCGCTTAGTAGACTGCTAGAGATTTGGGGCTTTGGGTCTCCCTCCTATAGGTCCAGCTCTGTCAGCCCTGGTTTTAACTGGAGCATAGCCATCAAATTCATAGTAGGAAGTCTGAGAGTGCTGAGAGTCACAGCTCAAGAGGTGTCAGGACTTCCAGGTTTCCTTCCTTGCAGGTAAAATGGAAACCTTAGGAAGGGTTTTCAAGGCTCACTGCTTTGAGCAGGCCGGTCATTGAGACTGGTAGCTCTAGAGTTCTTGGAGGAAGACTGGCCCACTGGTTCTCTGTCGTATACAACCCCTGGGCCTGTTAGTCCTGGCAACTGTTGACTTTAGGCTAGCGGCAGAAATTATATATAAACGGGGATAAATGATTGGAAAGAGGTTGAAATATGTAACAGCAGGAGTTCAGTGCACATAAACCACTTTCAAAATGGCAAACACCAGTTTAAGATAAAGCAGGATGGGTATAGTATGAAACTTAGCTGATTTTAAGTTAAATCAGTTCATTGAACTTCTGTCCCAGATCCCTTCCAGGTTCACGTTAACTCACAGTCCCCCAGCATCCCAGGATGCTATCTATGCACCTTCTCCATAAATGCCCCCACCCCCTTGTAGAGTGGGGAGGCTAGCCTCGGCCCAAGTTGTCTGCTCCAACTGAGTAAAGAGGTGTGCTCTAGAACCCCTGGCTTCTGGTCTGACCCACTAAAGGTCTGTGGCTCCATTTTCAGAATCAGAATTGAATGCCTATTTACTTGCTTATTGGTTCAATCTGTGTGTCTTAGGCTAACCTGCGAAGATTGAATTGGTTCAGCCTTGGGCTTTTTGCCTGTCTGTACTTAGCCTTAGTGAGAACACTGGCTAACTTTAAAGGTGTGGTACTTTACATTTTTCACATTTATCAAGGAAAGGTGTCTTGGAAGAAAAAGCGATTTTGCTTACTCTAGCTAATTTTTTTTTAGTTCATTGCAAGAGTTTCTCAATTGCTTTATCATGCATTTTACTGAGGTGCTGCACAGTAACTTTTAGCATCGCACAAACATAAATAAACTAATGGAAATGCATGTACTCCTCCCATGTCCTCTTGGCTTACATAAATCCTGCTCAAAGGAGCTAGGGCTTGTGTCCTTCAGGGATTGAATGCCACCTGTTCCATGCCAGCAAACAGACTCTCTTGTAAGCATTATGACCTAACTTGGTTCTCTAGAAAAGAAGCAGGATGTAAATTTATCCAGAAGTAGCTGGATTAATCCTCTTAGCTCATTTTACAGTACTACTGTTAGCTGAAATCAAACCCAGGTCCCAGAAAAGCAAGTGCTCTAACCACTCATCTCTTCTTATGAAAGATACAGTAACATAAGGGTTCCTTTTCAACAGTTGTAAGTGGTCTGCACATGATATACTTGGACATTTCTTTTTATTTTTATTTTTTGTCCAGTATATAGACTAACTAGAAACCTGGAGCACAGTGAAAATCTTTGGGCAAATGGAGCTTGTCCCTGGAGATGATTGTGGTGTTCTGCTATTACTTGAGTGCAAATTGTGAACAGTTCTGTTGAATTCAGCAGTTGACTGACAATTTATGCTGGTGTAACTGAGAGAAGCAGTTGGCCTTCATTTTGGTTCTAATTTCCCCTGCCTCATCCTGAATTTTTCCAAATGTGCCTGCTTTCAGTGGAATTGTAGTCTGAGCAAAGACTGATGGAGAACTTGCACAGAAATATTAGTGCAGACCAATTGATAGAAATTATGCCTATTTAAAATATATATCCTACAACTTAATAACATTAAAGAGAAATTCCTTCACAAATTAGCCTTCTAATGAAAACCATACTGAAAGCCTCCTAAAAGGCCTGATGTTGGCAAGACTGATACAGTATGTTTCACCAGACCTATAATTTACAAGCCTGCCACTCTTGCTGCTCTTCCTACCACACTCTTGAGAAGATGGGGTGTTAAATAGCTTTCCTATTACATGTAGCGTAGAACTGGCAAAGACCACTTAGGTTACCCTGTTTGATCCACACGCAACATAGACTGCCGTATTTAATTATAAGGGAACTAGACAAAACAGTAACATAAACACTAATTTATGGAGCAAAGCCATAGGAAGGATCCTGTTTGGGTCATGGGAAGCTATCTGAGAATAAGGGGAAAATGACTCAAGAGTCATAGGCTTTCTATTTGTATGTGCAAGGCAACATTCCTTGGAAGGATGACAGTACTGTTCTGATGCCTTAAAAATACTTCTTTAAAATTGCAGGGTGGGGGAGGGCTGGGCTCACCCTGAAGAATTGTTCTCACCACTAGGAGAAACAGGCAAGGTATATAACACTACTGTGGAATAAATTGTTGGCCTATTCACTCTAGTTAATATAAATTCCAGTTGGATTTTATGAAGTCAGAACTCAAGTTATTAAATAAAAATAACCAAAGAGAGTGTCAGTGTGTGCGGGCATAATTGGCTAACCTCCAGTGAGAGACGGTCAGCTTTGTTTTTGTGCCTAGTTATATGATCTATGATATTGGATGATTTGATGACCAGTGGTGATACAGAAAGAAGAAGAATGCAAACAACTGAGTGACTTTTTTTTCTAATTCTTAGGAGAAAGTGCAATAAGAATGATGGGCAAAACAGAATAGCCCCTGGAATTTACTTCAAACTAGTAAAACATGGGAGTCTGTGCTTAGATGAGTTTTGTTAGCCTTTCTTCTCTAATATGGCTGTTAGTTGCACCTGGTGACATTGCTCCTGTTTCACAGCCCTGCAGAATTGTTTTTAACCTTAGCTAGAAACATTAACTTGGGTGAACATTAATTCAGGTGTGGAAATTCAATTTCAGTGAAGCTTTGGAAGTATGGTAAAGATGCTCAAGAAGGCTAGATTTTGTCTTAAAAATCTGAAGAAGAGATGTACACTTAATTCTAATGACTACAGGACTAATTAAACAACATTTTTTATTATTTTGCCTAAGTTGTAGTTTTATATATAATATATGATATAGCAAATTAATAAATATTTCGATGTTTTTTTCTTTTGCTTCAGTCTTAAACTGAGTAATATAGCCCTGGGCCTTTAGCATGTTAATAATGCTTCTAGTATAATTTTAATGGGAGAAAAATGTGTTGTCATATGCGATAATGCATCACAGCACCACACCTTTTCAAAATCCTAGATCTGTCCATGCTTGTCAAGTTAACTTAAAAGTGGTTGAGAGGTAGCATAGTCTAAAGGAAGGGGTTGTAATCAAGACCAGAGTCCCCAGTCCTGATCTGATTCTATTGTTAAGGTGCATGTAATTTGGGGCAAGTTATTTCATTTTTTTCCACGTGCAAAATTTGGGAGGTGCTAGTTAAAGTGTTTGCAATGTTTTAACCATAAATCTGAAGTATTATTTCCTCTGTACTGCAGCCTGTAGCATATAATCCATCCCAAATTTTAAAACCAACTGCTTGGGAGAGGCAGCTGCATTACTATTCAGGCAGTGCTAAGAGAGTCAATTGACTTCATTGTCCTCTCCTTGATTCCTGTTAATCTCTCTCCATTCCACAGGTTTTAATGACCTGCTATCCTTTTTAATGGCATTTCTACTAGGCCTGTGTGAGTAGGCAGCTATTTGATCTGGCTGCTTTGGATGCCAGGGATCCAATCTGGAGCTCCAGCCGGACCAAAGCAGGAACCCGGTCTGAAGTGGCTCTGAAGCTTCAGAGCTGCCTTGGAGATCCAGCCGTAGAGAATAATGGGGAATCAATGAAATATCTATAACTTTGTTGGGGGTTTTTTCTGATTTGGATGACACTTGCAGGACTGGTAGCCTATGCTAAAAGCATGAAGCCTGCCAAGTTTCAAGAAGATCGGTCCAGGGGTTTGGGGAGAACTGTACCCCAAATTCTTGAAAGCAAAACTCATGTCACGTGTATGTATTACACCACAGGGGGGGGGAAAACTGCAAGGGCGGTAGCCCCTGGTGAGGCCACAAAGCCTGCCAAATTTCAAGAAGATCGGTGCAGGGGTTTGGGGGGAACTGCACCTCAAGCTGCGGACAAGCAAAACTCATG